CAGGGAGGTTGTGGAGTCTCCTTCTCTGCAGATATTCAAGACCCACCTGGACGGGGTCCTGTGCAGCCTGCTGTAGGTGACCCTGCTTGGGCAGGAGGGTTGGACTGGGTGACCCACAGAGGTCCCTTCCAACCCCTACTATTCTGTGATTCTGTGATTCTGTGATTCTGAGATGGTGACGGCAAGCGGGGAGCGAGGCTGGGAGCAGAGAGGGTGGGTGTGCGGGAGCTGTGCGGTGGGGTTGGCAATGCCAGGCTGCAAGTGTCAGGGTGTGGTGGTTGTCTCCAATAGAAACCGTCCTGGAGTCCCCGGAGTCTGGATTTTCCCGTGTCGTGGTCCTGCCCATGCCCCAGGGACTGGGTTGGGTGGGGTCCGTGGAGGTGAGGAAGCCTGAGCTGAGCTCCAGGGGAGACGTCCCCTCTGCAGGCCATTGCTGCTCACTGTGCCATCAGCAGTGATGTCATAGCAGAGACACGGCTGCACAGCAGTTGTGTGTGGGCAGGGGGCCACAGTCGGGCAAGGACCATGGCGGGGCCGCTCTGGTGGTGAAGGAGTGGAGCAGCTGTGCAACATCTGGCTGGTAGGTGCACTGCGGACAGAGGCGGTGCGTGTCCCCGTGTCACTGTTCCCTCCTTCCAGCTGCCACCACACCAGGGACAACAGCTGCCCTCCTGTTTCACCTGGAAGCCATTGCCCTCTGTTGCCTCTCACCTTCTGCCAGCACCTCTGCTTTTCAAAAGACCAAAGCGCACTCCTGATCAGAGCCACCACATCTGAAAGCAAAGGGACAGGGGACACTAGTCAACCTGTTGTCACCATGGAGTCCTCAAATATCATCAAAGTGACTGTGAAGACCCTCAAGCAGAAGGAGCAGTTTGAAGTTGCTCAGAGCAGCACCATCCAGGAGTTTAAGGAGGAAGTCGCCAAGCGTTTCAAAACAGCCCCCAATATGCTTTTCCTGATATTTGCTGGGAAAGTCCTCAAGGATGGAGACACTTTGAGCCAGCATGGAGTTCACAGTGGGGTCAGCATCCACGTGGTCATCAGGTCCCCAAAAAGACAGCAGGACAGCCTAGCAGATCAAGGAACAGAGAGCACCCTGATGCCACCTCCCAGCCACAGTAATTCCAACACATTCTTCTTGGGAAGCCTAGCTAATCTGCAAAGCCCATGCTTGATCCATCATAACTTGTCCGAGCTGTTGATCTCCAGCCAGGAAACAGTGGCCAGGACCATGGAGAACCTCTTGTCTAGGATCCTCAGTTCAGGCCTGGATCTGAACACCATCAACAACAACGCATTTTTGCTAGGGTTCCTCCTCGGGGTGACAGGTGTACATCTCCTAGGGCTGGACTCAACAGATGTGTTGGACTTGCTGAGCAGCATTCAAGAACAAGACGTGTCCATGCACAGCTTGATAAATGACATGGTGCAGAGCAACTTTCTGCAGCATATCCTTGGCAATGCCCATCTCATCACGTCCAACCCGCAGCTGCAGCGGCTGGCTGAAGAAAATCCTGAGGTCGCTCAGATTCTGGCCAACTCTCAAACTATCAGAGAAATATTAGAGGCCTCCAGCAATCCTGCCATAATGCAAGAGATAATAAGGAACCGCGACGTGGCCATGAACAACCTGGAAAGCGTCCCTGGTGGGTACAGCTCTCCGGAGCAGCTGTACAGGGAAACTGAGGAGCCCATCTTGGATGCTGTGCAGGAACAGCTGGGCAACAACCCATTTGCTTCCTCAGACGGTAACCCACCCCTGAGCGGATCCAGGCTACCAGCCCATACGGAAAACCGGAGTCCTTTACCCAACCCTTGGGCTCCACGGTCCGACGGAGTCAGTGACAACGCAGATGACTACGATGGCCAGCCTGCCAGCAGCAGCGCAGGCAGCAGTTTTGCCTCGCCGAATCTGGGTCCTGCAGCAGGTGCAGTGGTACCCAACTCGGGGGAGGTTCACAGCATGATTCAGCAGCTAACGGGGAACCCAGAATTCATGCACAACCTGGAGAGTGCGTTAACAAACCCCAACAGCCCAGCACAAACGCTGCTGAATAGCGTTCATATATCAAGTGATGGGAATTCTCTGCCTCAAGATCTATGGGCACAGCAGCTTCCACCGGAGATGGAGGACGCGGAGATTTCGTCCTTGCTGAGAAACCCCAGAGCACTGCAGGCGCTGCTGCACATCCACCTGGCGTTAGAGACTCTCTCAACAGAAGCATCCGATTTTTTACTTAGTTTGGAGGACTCATATATGGAGACGAGTGTGGAAAGCATGGACGACTCGGCACAAAGCAGTGAGTCTGAGGACGATGCAATTTTGGTGTCAGACAAGGATGAAGCAGAAGATCAGAGAGAGATGGACGAGGAGGCACCACAGACAAGATTTAAGAGACAAATGGAGCAGCTCAGCGCCATGGGCTTCCAGGACCAACGTGCAAACTTGCAGGCACTGATAGATGCAGAAGGAGACATCAGTGCAGCAATGGAGATATTGGCTAAAGGACCATCATCAGAGATGATGA